CAAATTCTTCCTACCAATATGACCAAGTTGCGAAAACAAGGTCAAGCAACCTCTATAGAACGAAAGGAGACTGCGACCACACAAAAGGCCACACCATCTTGGTCTTCATACCTACGATCCGATCCCAAAAGTTTGCATCTTATCAAAGTGTAAAGTGAGTCGATTTTGACGCTACCGGTAGGACGCTTATGAGGAAAAGTGGTCTTTTTTGTTGGAGGTGATGAAGGATGCCGGAAATTGTCGAGACAAACATGACAGAGCACGCTGGACACGATACATTCTTCATGGTCGCGCTGACGACACGACCAAGTTGCGAAAGCCAAGTGGAAAACTGCTACACAATGAAAGGAGACTGCCACCAAAATAGAGGCCACACAATCCTGGTCTTAATGCCTCCGACCAAACGAAAGTTCAGCCCACGCATAACTCTGGCATTTCCCAATTCTGCTGTGACACTTTCTGGAAGGCTGTACCATATTGACAGACACGGTGGGAGTCAGAAGGGACTGAGGCGCAAATGGGCTTTTGGGGGGGATAGCAAAAGACGACTGTGAAGGCAGCAGACTTGGGAAGAGGGCAGAGGCTGGCCGAGGGACGGGAGAACAGAGAGTTCTGGCTCGGAGGCCGTCTTTGTCGGCCGTCTCGCGAATGCTGCTGAGGCGGGCATGGGAAATGCGGGATACGCAACTGTGAAAGAGGTCACTAGGGCCAAAAATGGCGGACATCAGTGCAGTTGGCGAGTGAGAGAGTGAGAGGGTGCGAGAGGGAGAGAGTTGGCGAGTAAGTGGGTGAGTGAGTAATTGGGTGGTGGATGCAGCTCAGGTGAATGAGAGAGTGAGTAATTGAGTGGCGGAGTCAGCCCATCTGACCCAAGAAGACATTAAAATGGAGAAATGGCATGGACGCAAAAACAGGAATCAACAGAAGAAGAGAGATTGGGCTGTTAAGTTGGCCTGACAGGCTGGGAGGATTTGTAGTCCGGCCTCAGCAGAAACCGAAGGATTCATGCTACCCAAATCCGTTCGTGTACAAGAGAATCTCCTTTCCCCACATACAACTTGATCGTGTTGTCAGGGCGACCTTGAGGATCACGCCTTGTCCACAGTTTAGAGTAGCCATGCTAATTTTCTAAATTCGGACCATAGACTTGGTACATTCGCATACGGTTTGCCGGTTTCGTCAGGTTTTAAAAGGACATTATGAAATTGTGACGGTGAATTGGTGCTATGAGGATATATGATAGGAGAGCTAGCAGACAATTGGTCAAAGGATTGATTCCACTTGTCTCTTTGACGAGTTGCGGTGTGGTGATATCGCCTGCGAGGTCGGCGAAACGTGTAGGAATGTACCAAGTCCACGGTCCGAATCTGTAATTTATCACGGAAACTCTGGACTCCGGACAAGGTGCCTTCCTCACGGTCGGCCTAAGAACACGATCAAACAAATTCTATACAACGAAAGGAAACCGCAAACGCGAGTTAATGTGTGTTAACATTCTCGCTGTTGGCCATCAGCATTAGCGGCTCTTTTTCTGTATGAAGGAAAAGTGGGTTTTGAAGAATTCTTTAATGAAATATTGTGGCATGACTCTCCATTTCGAAGGGAAAGTTGATTGGAAGGAGTCT